CGCTCCCGCGGTGCCGCCGCCGCCGCCCCGCTGCCCGCTAAGTTCGAGGCTGAGGCCTTATATAAAACTACCCAAGCGTAAATAAACTGTACCTTATGCAACTTCTTAAGTTATTTACTAGAGTTTCAAAGTGTTTAAATAATGAATTGTTATAATTGCGCACTATAAATTATTTCTGTAGCCAGCTAGCCAGACTTACGTTGGGAAACTTCACAAATGTCGGCTTCCTTTCACTCCAGTCTATATTTGGCCCGGAGCCGTTTTCGAGGCTTCTTATTTTGAGTACAATGTATTATTTTTGTTCTTTTCATTCACATAAAGTTTGCTACGTACGTCATCGGTCACACGGTTGAGGTGGCGCAGAAGTTTCTCAACACGCCCGGGATTCAATTCCCCAATGAGCCTTTTTATACATCACAGTATTTCTGATTTTTAGTTGGAGGCTCAAATGAAAATATGGCTCAAAAAGAAATATGATTCCGAGATTCAGGGGGAACGTATCGTGTATTGACTTAGGATCAAATTCAAATAAGAACGACGTAGGTACATATTTAAACCACGAAATGAAATCAAAACAGTGCGATATATTTAACTTCGGCATTTTTTAAGATTATGACATGATGACATTATAAGACGATTTTATTAATTGACCAACAATGCAATTTACTAAACATAAATACTATTTTCATGACAACATACTACGATCAACATGGAAAGCATTGGGGGAGGCCTATGTTCAGCAGTGGACGTCCTATGGCTGAAATGATGATGATGATGATGATGAAATACTATTTTCATGATGGAAAATCCTGTTTTCATCTTGAAAAGCAGAACATTTTAAAATCGAAGTGTAGGTAGTTATAAAATGTGGAAATTTCCGCCCTACTACACTCAGGAGCTGCACAGCAAAATACCTCCTAAGTCCTATGACATCGGATTAAAGTTTCAGGGCGGGGGTCGATTCTCGTGCAATAGTTATCATTTAGAAATATTTACGAAATACATTAGTGACTGATGCCCGTTTTCACCATCAATCCCTTATTTTTAAGTGACCCCTATGAAAACAAAATTCCTATCAAGTATTACCATAGGGGTCACTTAAAATTAGGGATTGATGGTGAAAACGGGCATGATTTTCTTGCGCTACTTGCGAAGCAGTGGTAGGGTCAATACTGGGACATGTAAAAGTGCTTTTTAAAAGCCTACTTGCAAAAATAAAATGAGTGTATGAAATGGACAATAACTTCGGAATCATACAGTTTAGATAGGATTAGTTTCTTAGGTGACATAATTATGAAGTTTGAGTAAATGCCGGAAAAGCTATCAATAACAGTGGTCGACTCATCACTGTCGACCTTTTGAAACTACTCGTATTTGACTACATTGAAAAACAGGTTTGGTGCTTTTGGAGTAAATTGTTAGTATCTGCTTATACAAAAGTGTACTTTCGAACTGAGTGTTACATAAAACAAAACTAGTAACAGAGATTAGTTTTACCAGTAGCAGTATTCAGTTCACAACAAATAGTTTCACTAATTTTATATCTTCTCATCATAAGCTGTGCTGTTTTTGATAATAGTAAAAATCTCAATCATTTCAGGCACTGTGTTTACTTTGTTAAATAGATTTTCACTCAATGAAAGAACGAACAGAAATTATTTTCTATTTCGAAATGGTTTCTATTGCTCGAGGAGTTGAGCATAGTCCCCTTGGAGTGGCTGTCGCCGGCAACCGTTTGATTCGATATAGAAAACTTGCGAGCGCCCGACCTTTGTCGACGAACCATTATTGTGTAGCCAGGGTATCAATTACGCTGTAGATAAAGACCTGCGTGATAACGCGGTTCGATTTTCATATTTCTTTGATGCAATACGATCTTCGGTTCATGTTAAAGTTTTCTAGTTTTCCTTTACGAGTAAAAGAGTGTGATATTTAAGCCTTGAGGTTTTAAAGGGTTCTGTGATGTTGATACATTTGTACTTTTAAGTAGTACAGCGCAGCGTAGGACGTCCACCGACAAGTTGGACTGACGACCTCATAAATGCAGACCACCACCAACCGGTCATTATGGAAATCATTTGGGGGATTGGGGGAGGAGGCCTATGTTCAAAAATGATGATGATGATGAACTTTATAACTTTTTTACGAAAGTTAGCACAAGTTATTTTCGAACTAATAAGACTTAGTTGCGTTCTATTTCAGTCGCTCACTAAAAAGCACGTGAGTTTTCCAATTTCCCAAGCCTAACGTATCTGCATGTCAAATAGTCGCTATTAATACCCATTTCTCCCTGCCAATGTTTATTGCCAATACCGCCGACCCACGCCGCGACGCATCGCATAGCGTGCGTGCCGGCCGGCGTCTGATCGCGTAATGGATGCATTTGGAGCGTCGCCATGGCAACGGGCGGCCACAGACGGTCGCTGCGTCTGGTCCCAGCATCAATAAAGCGCTACTCGGCGGCTTAAAGCAGAACTGGAATTTTATTGATATGTTTCTGCATTTTGTCTTCTTTATATCATGCACTGACATCATTACCGAGGTAGTCGTCGTCGTCGTCGTTTCAGCCGAAAGACGTCTACTGCTGGACAAAGGCCTCCCCCAAGGATTTCCACAAAGACCGGTCCTGCGCCGCTTGCATCCAGGTACTTCCCGCGACCTTCACCAGATCGTCGGTCCACCTAGTGGGAGGCCTGCCCACGCTACGTCTTCCAGCTCGTGTTCGCCACTCAAGAACTTTCCTGCCCCAGCGGCAACTAAAATTGTAACGCTAGGAGCAGACATTATTAAAAAAGGTAGCCTTTAGATATGCTTGTACTAACTTCTAAAGCAAGGTACTTATCATATTTTCTTATGGAATTTGTAGACTGTTAATCAAGTGAATTACAAAGTAATTTGTCCCATTGGAATTGATGTCGAACTCAGGAATAAGTGTAGAAGTATTTCTGAGGCCTTCTAAAAGTGAAAAATAAGGGAAAGACCTTGATTTTTTACCGAGTCGAACCTTTTCGTTTCAGACGTAGGCGTCTGAAGAGATCAATTTGACTTGGCAAATTGAAGAATTGGCAAAAAAACTTGTAGTAAATGGATTTTTTTCATGTAATCTATCAGTATTTTTTGTGTTACGAGGGGCGGCTGAAAAGTTTTGAGCCTAGGGTATTAAAAATGCTGATAGAAAAGTATAAAAAATATATTTCTCTATTTAATCTCCCTCTACTACAATGGACTTCTTACATTTGTGTAAAAGAGCTTTTAACCCACTGAAAAAAAATTCGCAATCTTTGCCTTCGAAATGAGCCTTTAACGCCGCCTTCATTACTTTGTCACTCAAAAATCTTCGTTCCTGGAGGTTTTTTTTCCAATTTGAGAATTAGACAAAATAGCTAGGGATTCGGGCTAAACTGTGTGGTGGGTGATTAATTTCTTGAAATCCAGTCTTACCCGGGGCAAGCCATGCAAAATGCGCGGTGTGCGCGGGCGAATTGTCTTGCAATAACGGATTTCCTTTCGCCAGTTTGCCTCTTAATATTTCAACAACCACTTGACGCACTTTTATCAGCAGTACAGCATAATAATCCCCGTTTATTGTAGTTTTTTTTTAAGTAGGTAGTTAATGAATAAAATTCCTCCACAATCCCAAAAATAGTGGCTATGAGCTTGGGTGTCGATCGCTCCACTTTGAATTTCCGCGCCGGCGTTTTCCCCTTTGAATCCATTGCATTGACTCTTATTTTGACTCTAGATCGTACTGCCGGATCTATGATTTATCAATAGTGACAATGTGAGAAAAAAAATTGTTAGGATTATGGCCAAAGATGTCCTAAAACTCCTGAGAAGTTGTGACTCGACGTTGGTTGTCGAACGGCGTGAGCATTTTTGGCACCCATCGCACGCACCCCTATTTCATGTGCAAATGAGTATGAAAAATATCGCCAATACGTTCCTTGCTAATGCCTATGGCTTCAGCTATATGTCACAGCTTAATTTGCTGATCTCTAAAGCAAGATTCTTTAAATTTTCATTATTTTATTCGTTAATGGCGAAATCTGGCCGCCCTGACTTGCGGTCATCTTTTAGCGACTCCCTGCCATGCTTGAATAATCGGATCCAATCTTTCATGGTGGCAAATGAAGGCTCAGACTCCCCATAAACTGTAGACATCTCTTCAAAGGATACCGTCAGCGTTTTGTTCCTCTTTTTGAGGTATTTTATGACAACTGTGTACTTCAATTTCGTACATTGCGCGGATGACTGAGACATGATGTTGTTTACGGATGAATTACTAAAAGACTGATGACGCTAATGAAATGAAACTTTGTACATATACTAAGGAGGTTATTGGCAAATTAATTAAATTTAGCGCGAGTCAATAATAACACTTGAAGATACTTAGGCTCAAAACTTTTCAGCCGCCCCTCGTAGTAGAAAATAGAAAGAATGACATATTTGATGTGTACCATCGGGGTTTAAAACCGTGTTTTTACTGTTTCTTTCACAGAAACGTCCCTGTTGTTTTTCCTTAGGATTTGTCGGTATTATGTCGTACTTTCTTATTGAATTTACTGCAGTGCAGGCCGTTGAATTAGTTTCCATGAATTGTTGGAACATGAATTTGTACAATCGATGTGTATAGGTCGATGAACCGGTGCCATTGCCCATTATATGGGCAACGTGTTGGGTGCCAAGTTTCATTTTGGTTTATAAAAAAACTTGTTACAAACGTGGCCGAAACTCGTGGCTGTATTGTTCAGGGTATTGGGTAAATTAAGTCAGCTTGCTATCAGATCTGTGCGAAGTTTTTAGGCTGATGACACGATAAACATAACAGACAATGCTTATAAGAATGAGTTTATAAATTCAGCAAAACATAGAATACACTTCCAATTAAACTTAGATTGGCTGCGCGTCCAAAATAACCATTGTAATGTGTGTTCCTTTATGTTCAAACTCCACATTAACTGGTTCAAAAATTTTTAACGTTTCCCTTTTCTCAATTCCAGATGCACGCTCAGATTCCCTTCCACAAACATCCGGCTGGAGTTCCAGTCGCTGGTAGAGGAGAGCGGGGCGGGGGGCAGCTCCGGCGCGCCCCTCGTGCCGCTTCGCATTGCCATACCCATGGAGAATGACGCGCGAAGCCCGGCTCCTTCGCCCACTGGTAAGGACTACGGGGAAACTGATTAAAGCTAGGGTTTTAGTTGGTCAAGAACGTAGTGTTAGTTGGTCTTGGAGCGCCCTCCACAAACATTGGCTGGAGTCACAGTCGCTGGTAGAGGAGAGCGCGGGCTCGTTGTGCTGCGCATCGTGATACCCATGGAGAATGACGCGCGAAGCCCGGCTCCTTCGCCCACTGGTAAGAACTACAGGGAAACCTGTTAAAGCTAGGGTTTTAGTTGGTCTTGGAGCGCCTTTTACAAATGTCTGGCTGGAGTCACAGTCGCTGGTAGAAGAAAGCTCCACTCCGCATCGTGATACCCATGGAGAATGACGCGCGAAGCCCGGCTCCTTCGCCCACTGGTAAGAACGTAGTGTTTTAATCTTGAAGCCTCTTCCACTGACATTCAGCTGGAGTTCTAGTAGAGGAGAGCTCTACTCCGCATCCACACCGATCTCCTCAACCCTCTGGATCGCAAACTCTCTGGACTGGTAATACCTATTAGAGCTAGTGTTTTAGTTCGCCTTGGAAAGCAATTTTGGTTCTTCAATCCTCCAGAATGCGATACCCATGGAGGATTACGCTCGAAATCCGGCTTCTATATGGAAAATATGCCTTTTTTCCAAGTCGATTTTTCCATCTGACTGTAGCTAAACATGGCAATAGCAAATATAATATAGTCTGTTATCAATATAACCGTTCCGTTCGTGATGTTTTTCTTTTCGTACACACTTTCTGACTTGTTACTATCAATGTTCCAGGCACAATAAGCGCAGCGAACAGCTGCCCGACTTCACCGCGGGGCGCGGGCTCCTCAGGCCGGCGGCACGCCGACCTTGGGCTTGTGGCTCAATACGCTGCCCTTGCGGATCACCAGCGGCCCAACAGCAATGGCACTGCGGTAAGCACCTTTTCATCCCAGGAAAATGGCCTATTCATGGTCTTGGTCTGCCGCGGGGGGGTTTATAGGTTATCTGGGGCAAGAACCCACTCAAAACCTGGAGCCGCATATGGATACCTCGCCTGGATATCTCTGCCGCAATAGCAGTCAGCGCCTTGGACGACCGAGACGTCTTCCGGGGACATCCAGCTCTAAACGGTAGGACTGCAAGGACACCTGCCCTTGTGAAAAGCTAGAAGTAGCAGCATTCTTTGCCGCTATGTAAAACTTCACAAGTATGTACGTACAGGACTACAGGTTATGTGTATAAATGTCAGTTCAGAAGTCTACTCCGAACTATCTTCCCAGGCTTAGTCAAGCCAAGAAATAGGAGTCCTGTCCCGTAAGTGAAGAATTCCAAAGACAAGCTATGACGTCCCTTTTTTTCTTGGAGTAAGTGGGTTTTCAAGGGCAATGTTATGTTGTTCTTTAAGTTGTATCTTGGAAAATATGTCAACTGCCCAATTGTTTGTGTTTTACTTAGCTTTTCAACAACCTCCAATCCATTTCCAGGTGTCATCAACAACTTCAGAATACAGCAGCCGCGACGTGCGCGATTCCCGCGATTCCCGCGACGCCCGCGACGACGCCAAGCCTCCATACTCCTACGCGCAACTCATCGTGCAAGCGGTGGCTTCTGCCGCCGACAAACAGCTGACGCTCAGCGGCATCTATAGCTACATTACCAAGCATTACCCGTACTACCGCACGGCTGACAAGGGCTGGCAGAATTCTATACGGCATAACCTGTCGCTCAACAGGTGCGTGTTGAAAGATATACTTCTGTACTGTTAAATGTGCGTCTTATAATGCGAATTTCAGGTCAGCCTCTGTGTTCCACAAATCTTACAACACTTAGGCCCTGAACAGACGGTGAAACGCAACTGCAACGAAACTGCAACTTTTTGATGATTCTGAAACTTAAAGTTTCAAACTGGTCGCGAAATGTGTGGTCTCTGAACGGACGCTATGGCAGAAACTTAGATGCAACTCAAAAGTAACTAGCAGTTGCAGTTTCGTTGCAGTTGCGTTTCACCGTCTGTTCTGGGCCTAAGGCCTCTGAGGCATTAGGTAAACAGACTTCTAGGCAAACTCGCTCTTCCATAGATCACCTCGAGAGGTGCAGATGCTGCACTCTGCTTGAGATTGTAATCAAAAGCAACTCCATATACTACATAAAATCTTCATGCCTAAATGCTTGAATCAATTTTGATGAATTCTCGTGTAGAGATAAATGGGATCTAAGTTTCAGGTTCCTTTTAAGTGCAAAAAAGGTTCCTTTTTGTCACAGAAACATATTTTATAAAGGTAAATTCTTAGTTTAAATTCAAAGAAACTCGAGTCTCAAACGAATTTTCCCTTCTCAGCATTAACCTTCACGGTTGTCTATCCGCAGATACTTCATCAAAGTGCCGCGCAGCCAAGAAGAGCCGGGCAAAGGCAGCTTCTGGCGCATCGACCCGCAGAGCGAGGGCAAGCTCATCGAGCTGGCCTTCCGTCCGCGCCGCCCGCGAGGCGTCCAGTTCCGCGCGCCCTTTGGACTCTCCTCCAGGTTAGTGGTTCTAGCTTTCAGAGGCTTCCAGAGGTTTTCAGAAGCTTCCAGAACCTTCCAGATGGTTCCAGAGGCTTCCAGAAACTTCCAGAGACATCCAGAGGCTTCCAGACTGTTCCAGAGGCTTCCAGAACCTTCCAGAGACTTCCAGAGGCTCGCAGAGCGAGGGCAAGCTCATCGAGCTGGCCTTCCGTCCGCGCCGCCCGCGAGGCGTCCAGTTCCGTGCGCCCTTCGGACTTTCCTCCAGGTTAGTGGTTCTAGCTTTCAGAGGCTTCCAGAGGTTTTCAGAAGCTTCCAGAAGTTTCCAGAGGCTTCCAGACGCTTCCAGAAGCTTCCAGAGGCTTCCAGACGCTTCCAGAGGTTTCCAGACGCTTCCAGAAGCTTCCAGAGGCTTCCAGACGCTTCCAGAGGCTTCCAGACGCTTCCAGAAGCTTCCAGAAGCTTGCAGAGGCTTCCTGAGGCTCGCAGAGCGAGGGCAAGCTCATCGAGCTGGCTTTCCGTCCGCGCCGCCCGCGAGGCGTGCAGTTCCGCGCGCCCTTCGGACTCTCCTCCAGGTCTGTAGCTCTAGCTTCCAGAGGCTTCCAGAGCCTTCCAGAACCTTCCAGAACCTTTCAGAGGCTTCCAGAACCTTTCAGAAGTTTCCAGAGGCTCGAGGACAAGCTCATCGAGAGTTCCAAGACCGATTCGGGACTACTCAACCTTCGATGGTTGGGTTTTATGTTGGAGGCCAAGCTGTAGGTCCTGGCTATACAGGAGTTGCAGTGGTGGGAAAGTGCAGCAATGAAAAAAAAAAATTGTTGTTGAGGATATTGAAGGAGTTTTAATTAATTTAATTTATGGTTGTGTTGCAGGAGCGCGCCTACGTCGCCGTCGCAGGTGGGCGTGTCAGGGCTGGTGACACCAGANGAGACACGTTGTCAGTGTGTTGTGCCGCGCGTGTGTTCTATACAAATTGAGGTAGGTACTTGCATACAATGATTAAATCTGTCGTCTCACGTACCGCGGCGGAGCGCGGCGCAGTGTGATAATCGCCTTATAGATAGACTAGCGGCCGCCCGAGACTTCGTACGCGTGGACTCTATTTTACCCCCTTAGGGGTTGAATTTTGCAAAATCCCGTCTTAAGTAAGCACCTACGTTCTACCGTAGTAGGTACTTATTATTATTCTGTGGTTCTACGTTCTAAAAGGAACCTTCATGCAAAATTTGAGACTCCTAGCACTTGTAGTTTCTGAGATTTCGTGATGAGTGAGTGAGTCAGTCAATCAGTTAGTCAGTGACCTTTCGCTTTTATATTTCGCTTTTATAGTACCTTCAAAATCCCAGTAATGAAAGGTCCGATCAGGCCGACGTGTCTGATCACCTCCAGGATCTCACCGTCGATCCAGTACCGGCGGATGTCCAGGAACACCAGCACCGTCATCGGTATGGTGGTGAAACAGAGGATGGCTGGAAGATATACTTCGTTACAGTTTCGTGTTATCATCATCATCATAATATTGCACGTGACTTCGTACGCTTGGATCCCGTTTTACCCCCTTAGGGGTGGAGTTTCGTAAAATCCGTTCTTTGTGAGAGAGCACCTACGTTCTAAAAGGAACCCCCATGCAAAGAGACTCCTAGCACTTGTAGTTTCTGAGGTTTAGTGATGAGTGAGTAGTCAATCAGTGACCTTTCGCTTCTATAAATTTAGCGATAAGACCGCCTAATTGTACCTTATGTGTTCCTTTTCTTTCTGTTTCTTTTTATGTGGTGTGCAATTAAGAGTATTTATTATTATTATTATTATTTACTAGCGGCCGCCCGCGACTTCGTACGCTCCACACTTTTAACCCCTTAGGGGTGGAGTTTCGTAAATACCTTTCTTAGCGGATGCCTACGTCTTAATATCTACCTGCATGCCAAATTTCAGCCCGATCCGTCCAGTGGTCTGGGCTGTGCGTTGTTAGATCACTATGTCAGTCAGTCAGTCACCTTTGAGTTGGGTCAATTTCCCAANACACCAGAAGAGCTCTCCTGCGAGCCCACGCCCGACCTGCTGTCCGCCGACGACCACGAGCAGCAGGTAACCACAAGACGGACCGACGACTGTAGACAGGTGGGCGTGTCGGGGCTGGTGCGTCAGGCGTCCAGAGTCCAGACTCCGTAGGCCTCTAAAGCCCGGTCGCCGAGCTTGGGGTCATTGGACGAAATTCTACGTGCTCGGCGACCGGACTATAGTATAAATGGACGTAGTTATGCTACAACGTTCCAACCCACACGCAAGTCGAACTGAGAAAATCGCGTTTTTGTAAATTTGTGGTACGCTTTTTTTTGGTAGCGAGTAGAACTGAGTAGTATGTATCACTTCAACTAAATAAATAAACGTTATTTTATTACGTACTTGTCATTAAAATTTACTAATATTACTCATACAAATTTTGAAAAAAATGTACTTGGAACGTTTTCGCAAAAAGGCTTTTTGTATGAAATTAGTTTTTACCTTATTTTGCAAAAACGTTCCAAGTACATTTTTTCAAAATTTGTATGAGAAATATTAGTAAATTTTAATGACAAGTATGTAATAAAATAGCGTTAATTTATTTAGTTGAAGTGATACATACTACTCAGTTCTACTCGCTACCAAAAAAAAACATACCACTTTTTTTCCCGCTAAACTAGTGGTACGCTTTTTCCCGCTAACTTCCGTTCCCGTGGGAACTTTGCAATATCCTATTGTAACTAAGCTTTAAGTTTACTAAGGTACTTGCATGCCAAATTTCAAGCGTCTATGTTAAGCGGTTTAGATTTTTCATACAAAAGAATTTTCCCGCTAATTCCCGTTTCCGTGGGAATTTCGGGAATTCTTTTCTTAGTGCACCTCTACGTCACCTAAGCTACGTCCCTTCCAAATTTCAAGTGCCTACGTTTAGCCGTTTAGGCTCTGCGTTGATATTATGTCAGTCAGGCAGTCAGTTTCTCCTTTTACATAATATTTAGATTTACAATGGCATACTTTTAAACTAGCAGAATTTCTTTTGGAAAAATTTCATTTTGAATAATATCGATTAGCATAACGTTTTATTTGGTACCATTCCACTTGGCATACTATGCAGATGGCAGTTTTTAGTTTGAAATATTTAAAATATTCTGCATAATATCGATTAGAATAACTTTTATTTAGTAACACGATTATTTGGTACCATTCCACTTGGCATACTATGCAGATGGCAGAATTTCTGCAATATTGAAAATATTCTGCATAATATCGATTGCATGACGTTTATTTAGTATATCCTGTCCAGGAATGTTGCGGAAAACTAATTGTACTAAGTGTACTGTAACTGAAAACATCATTGATAGAAAAAAAAATACATTTATTACAATGGACATCACACAAATGCAGGCAATTACATAGACTCATGACAGTGGCACATAATAATGGAAGAAGAAAAAAAAATAAATAAAAACAAGAGTAAACTGAGCAGTGCCACCCATTCACCAACAAGATGCCAACTGCAATGGGACCCCACTTTAATATATGCAGAATGACATTTTGCCAAAAGAAATTCTGCTATTTTAAAAGTATGCCATTGTAAATTCGGACATAAACATTCTATCAAACGATAATTAATATTTATTATTTATAATTATTATGCATATTATAAATATTTTTAATTTTTAAAATAATATTGTTTAATTGTTATAAAAAAAAATTATGTACATTAACTACCAAAATAATATTATAACAATTTTCACACAATTGAAACGTTTTTGCAAATTAAGTTAAAGCCACTTTCAAACAAAAAGCCTTTTTAAAAACGTTCCAAGTACATTGGAACATTATTTTTATTTTACTCAGTCCAAAACGAATTAAAAGCATACGATCCAAATGGAATGTCACTTTTTAACATTTAAAATTAGTTATTTGTAAAACGTTCCAAAATGAATGGATCATTATTTTCATTGTATTCAGTCCAAAACGAATTAAAACATAACGTTCCAAATGGAATGTAACATTTTAAGATTTTATTTAGATCTTTTGGATCGTTTTATCATTTGGACCGCTTAATTATTTCATTAATTATTGTCGTAAGAGAGTCAGTGTCTTCAGCACTAGATAGGGCCACCCAAAATACCTAGCTTGGGCTCAAAAACTCAATTTTGACCACCTTGTGGGTTGGAACGTTGTAGCATAACTACGTCCAAATATCTAAGGCCGGTTGTGTTATACTTCGCCTAAGTATTTCTGGATGAAAACTACGTTGTTTATCATTTTCCCGCTGCTTATTTTGAGCCTTTATATAATGTGAAAGTATATTTATTTACGTGTTGTTCTTCCAGGCGGGCCAACAACGGCTGGGCGGCGCGCAGTCGCAGTATTTGTTCCCGCACGTCAGCCAGAGTGCGCCGGGATCGCCAGGTACCTAACAAGTTTCACAAACAAACTTACATAAATTAACACAAAGTGTATACGATACAAAGGTCCAGTATCTCTAGAATTAACTACTTTCTTCTTCGAATCGTTTGCGTATTCGACAAAATTCGATACTCAACCTTCGAATTAAACGATAACGTGACAATTTTGGTTCTCAAAATAAGTTTCTTGCAACCATTTTTAATACTAAGTTCACTTTACGACACGTTCACAAGGGCGCTGTTGTAGTTTTGGTACTAAATCTTTTGATGGCAATTCGAATACGCAAACGATTCGATCTCGAAAGTTTTTCGTGCTACTACAGAATATATTACAAACATGCACACGCATGCGTCGGCAGCGTACCTTTGCAGTGACACAGTATGCCGCGAAACGAATGAACACACACATTAGTAGTTCGCTTCCTCAGTAGCAAGATGGCGAAATGAACGGATGTGTTTTGAAATGGATTCACAGAGGAGGCGTACTAGTAGCGACAAATCTGAAGATGTGATTTCAATTACAAATTGTGTATCTCGCTCGCGCGTAATTATGTTGCTGTCGCGCTCGCACACTCACTGCGGGCGCGCGTCGCACAGTCGCGACAGCAATATAATTACGCGCGAGCGATAAGGATGCGTACCTTGGGGTCATTGGACAAAATTCTACGTGCTCACGGACCAGGCTTTAGCTGTTCTTAATGAGAGCTTCTTCCAGGCCACGGGCTGTCGTACACGCCGAGCGGCAGCGGGCTGGTGGTGGCGGGCCACCAGATCACCGTCGTCACCAACGGCGCCGGCGGCGAGCGCGAGGGTGAGACCACCTTGTTGTTGTTGTTGCTGAGAGGAAACCATCTTTGTCACGCGCGGACTTGGACCACCGACCACGGCTCCCGTTGCAAGCCGCTAGCCGCACACGTGTAACGAGGGGCGATAAGCGAGTCAAGTGGCCGTGACACGCCAAAGGTGGCGGCCACTCGTGACTCAGTGCAAGCATATTCCAAATTGTAGCGGCTACGGAGCACTCGTATCTTTTGATTGCACGATACCAAAGGACGCGGTTCACGACTATCACCAGAAAATTACCTTACCATTAATCCACTGCCGGATTAATGCTCGTTTTCACCATCAATCCCTAATTTTTAAATGACCTCTATGGTAACACTTATCAGGGATTTTGTTTTCATAGGGGTCACTTAAAAATTAGGGATCGTTGGTGAAAACGAGCATTAGACTACCTGATGGTGCGTCCACACTGGGCGAACGGGCTCGCGCGGCACGCTGGTCATCCTGCTCACTCTGCTCTTGAGTGAGCAGGATGTTAAGTTTGCCGCGCGAGCCCATTCGCCCAGTCTGGACGCACCATAATGCTAACCGGCTATTCTAAAAAAACCGCCACTACCCGAGTATGTCGTCGCTTCATCTTGCTGACAGGCGTTCCACGCTGTATCATGTAAAGAGTCATTATCATCATCATCAACAGCCCTTTACAGTCCACTGCTGGACTATGAGCCTCCTCCACTATAGTGGAGGGTTTTGCCACAATCTCCACACTTGGCAGGAGGGTTGGAGATCGCAGTTTAAAAGATTGATGTTTTTCAGAGAGCGCTGCTGCCTGTTCTCTGTTTGATGTGTAGTCCCTAAATTGCCTCTTACGAACGCCGCGGGAAGAGTAGGGGTTGGTGACAAATGTATTTCCACTCTGCCGTCACCACACGGCTTGTAATGTAAAGAGTATCTCATCACTATTACTTCAGCCGTAGGACGTCCACTACTGCTGAACATAGGCCTCCCCCAATGACTTCCATACCGACCGTTTGGCAGCGGCCTGCGTCCAGCGCCTTCCAGCTACCTTTATGATGTCGGTCCACCTTATGGGTGGACGTCCCACGCTTCGTTTTCCAGTACACGGTCTCCACTCCATTACCTCGCAAAGGAGTATCTAATCTTAAGTAATCTTATAAGATCGTTTGTCCACAGAGAAATATGTTGTCGGCACGACGACGGGAGGAAACTTGGTGTCCATTCAGGAGGAGGAGGTGCCCTCGGGCGTGGTCATCCACCAGCACTCGCCCTACTATGCGTGAGTAATTAGCATAGTATATTCTACCTTATTATTGTGGTACACTCGGTGCACATTGCTACCAGGAAACTCGTTTCTATTAAGCCACAGCACACACACTACTCTAAGTAGCATCGGTGATTTAGCTTTTTAGATGCTAAATGCAGCAATCACACATTCCACACCCACTCTAAAATCGCCAGATCTGGCGATTGGGTCGTTTTTTTAAGGTTCGACGTAAGGACAATATTCGTTAAAACGCGTGGTTCATATACTGCGTGCAAACGCATAAAGTGGCGATGCTGTATCGACAGGCCTCCGTCACTCGCCTATGCCGGCCGAGATAATTACCTACAGCCCGCGACAACTTCAAGTTGCAAATCAGTCCGGGCCGCCACGCGCCTGTTTGCACACGCGTATCTATACACGCTCGGTCGATCATAGTCGCAATCAAGGTTTATTGTTCCAACAGCACTGTTATTCTTCTTATACTTTAGAGATGGTACGATTATACAAACTCCACTAGATTAAAGTTTTCTAATCGTAAATACAATAAATGCTTCTTAAAATTAAGTTTTTATTTATTTTACTTTGCTCATACAACCCTGACGCTTGAGCGGTGACGTAGATCAATTCTAAACACAAAAAAAATGCGCTCTTGTGAGCGTAGCAGTAAGGTGCGATTTCAAATGCACCATGTGCGTTGGATATTTTGCATTATTATTACCGTTAAAATGTCGGCATCTGATCCTACACAAAGGAGTGCAATTTCTGTTGCTACTATTATGTATTCTGTGGTATCGATACTGGCTCAAAATCGCCGATTGCCGATGTTAAAAGTAGCATGGTGCTATAAGCAAAGCTAAGCCAACTCGGCGAGCTCACAAGGTTCTTGCACAAAATGGGTATGAGCAGAAGACAATCTACATACAAAGTGCAGTCGGGCAACGCTCACTGACACGATATCGCCAATAAATCAATCGCAAACCAGTCTAAATGAGTGCGAGCGCGAATGCCTTGCTATCTTCACTTCACTTGTTTTGGCATACACAGTTCACACAGGTGATTGTCTTCTGTTTGTATCTATACTCAACATCAAATAAAACTTTAAAGTTTAAAGATTTTCTTCTGACACAATCATTGTGCCCCAACAATATTGGTGTTATTTGAAAGCCCAATCCTTAAAGAAAAACACATTTAATTTCTTAATAAATGATTAACATATACCATAAATGTGACTTGAAAAAAGCCTCACTTTGGGCTCACCTCTGGGATCAATTGGACCAATTTTATGGTTATAAAATCAAATAATGATCACACTTGTCTTCTTTAAGGACAGCGATTGGAATAAATTGGATTGGATAGCGATTAATCCCAACTTAACAGTTTTATAGCCATAAAATAGTGTCTGAGTTTCTTGCGCTGCTTCTTTTGAGCACTGGCCCATTTATTGTCCTGAAGTGCAGTGGTAGGGTTAATACTGGGACATGTAAAAGTGCTTTTTTAAAGCCTACTTACAGAAATAAATGAGTTTTTTAAAGTTGGCTTAAGAGTAAATACCTATTTTCTAAAGACACATTTTTGGGGTAAAAACCTTTCCTATAATGAAATAAAGTTTAGAACTAGGCTTTAAAATGGTGCCAATATTGGTGGGAAGTGGGGATGCATACGTTTGAAAGTACTAGTCGCGGGAGGTGCGATTTATTTGATGCCGAGTGTATTTTGTGGTTCTTGCCACGCGTTATTACAAGTTGATTGTGTTTGTTTGCAGGGGCAACTACGGCGGCGGCGCCGGTGACTGCGGCGCGCTGGGCGGCGAGCTCGTGATCGAGGAGGCGCCGCTCGAGCCGCCGGTCAAGCGCCACAGGCACCACAACGTGAGTAGAGACAGAGTAAATACAAATGAGTAGGTCATCTTCATAGAAACGCACCGAGCGCGGTTTGTATGTGAGCGCGCCAATACGTATGCGGCGCGCACGCACACACTGACAAAATTCGGCGCAACCACGGCTGGCTCCCCGCTAATCCCCGCTAAATTTTGACAGTGTGTGCGTGTGCACACGTGTTGGCGCGCTCACATACAAACCGCGCCCGTGCGTTTCTATGAAGATGACCTACTCATTTGTATTTACTCTGGTAGAGAGAAGAGCTCTAGCGTGCCTGCTAAAGTCCGGTCGCCGAGCAGATAGAACTTCGTACAATGACCCCAAGCTACTTATCCTTCTTCATCATCATCATCATCTCAGCCATAGAACGTCCACTGCTGAACATAGGCCTCCCCCAATGCTTTCTATGTTGCTCAAGCGGCCTGCGTCCAGCGCTTCCCTGCTACCTTTACAATGTCGTCGGTCCACCTTTTGGGTGGACGTCCCACGCTGCGTTTTCCGGTACGCTCATCCTTCTTGCTCGTGCGAAAATTTATTAAAATTACGAAATTCTATCTGCTCGGTGACCGGACTTTACTCTTCCTAGTTGCATTCTTAGTGCCACTGATTTATGCTAGGAATCCTTAGACCTTATCGCCACTGGTCTAGCCATTCTTCAAACCTTAGGATTCTTCAAATCTCAGCCAGCCAGGGGCGCCTAGACGAAGTAACATTCGTGACGACGTTATTTCAAGAGCGGGTTTGCTGTCCAGACTAACCACAGACGACTTTCTATCGTTTGAGAAATAGTAATGTCAATTAACATCAGTTGTTGATTCATTGTTCATTATGTTCAGTTACGTCGTGTCGTATAATTACGTCACTCTTTCGTCACGTTATTGTTGTATTCTACTCGCTGGCTGCTTGTCACTTTCAGCGTTAAACCTGGTGAGAAACAGGGATCAGGCAACGAGTACTCCAGTGGTCCTGAAACTTTATTGGCATGTGGACATTTGAAATAAGAACATTATTAGAGCAATCCACCCATTGTTTCTGTATTGAGATTGATTCTAATTAAGTCATAGGCTTACTTCGTATTTAAATAGAAGATGGGCACATTCAAGCTAAAAATCTCAACTCTTGGGGGTTAGACCTATGTATTTAAGGTCTAACCCCCAAGAGTTGAGATTTTAGCCTAAGAACTCATGGCGCGGTTGTAATCCGGTCCCGCGCGAAAACCGCTCTATCGGCGGGCGACCATTTTGTTCCAGTGACTTAGCACGCGGCGTGAATTCTTAGGATAATCGCGCAAATAACCGCTTCCGTGAGTTTTGAAATAAAACCGCAATTCCACAACCGCCGCGGGCGCGGGTGAAAATCGCGCCGTGAGTTCTTAGCCATACTCGGACACTAAACTCCTCCATTACCTTGCAGATGTCCGACCTAGAAGACCGGCGCGCGTATTGACAGGGCGCGCGGGCCCCGCGTGACGCGCCTCCCGCGCCGCCGCCCACGCGGCCCGCGCGCGTCTCGCGCGTAGCACTCGCGCGACGCGCCACGCGCGCCTCGAGGTAAACGCGCAAGCTCGTTGCATCCCATGTTTCTGCGATTTTAGGACACTATTAGTTGCTATTTACGATGTTTATTGATATGTTTCGGAAAATTGTCAGGGAGGTAGTTTAGAGCCAGGAGAAGGACATGGGATACTTTTTATCCCGTTCGAAATAAAAAAAAAGTCTGCTTATTTATTGCCATTAAGGCGGAACAAAGCCGGGTCAGCTAGTTAGTTGCTATTCACGAAGTTTATTGATGTTTCGAACTCCTATGTTCTTCTGATTAATTTCGTTGCGGGTCCAATGACAGTTCAACTTTGACAACAACAAACNGCCACACAGGAGTTGCAGTGGTGGGAACGAAAGGTGGGAATAGTCGCGTTGATATGTCTCTCTGCTACACTACTCGCGAAGTTGATCGAAGTAGATGTCCCGTTGATATGTCTCTCTGCTACACTACTCGCGAAGTTGATCGAAGTAGATAATGTGGGCCTTCGCTACACTATCTGCGATATTGATCGAAGTAGATAGTGTGTGCCTCTGCTGCACTATTTGCGAACTTGATCGAAGTAGATAGTGTGAGGCGTGGGCCTGCGCTACACTACTCGCGAAGTTGATCGTTGTAATGTGGGCACGCACTTCACTTCGCTTCGGGCAACTTCGCCTCGCCTCGCCCCAATTCCGATTGTTGTTACTATTGCAGCCGAGTCAAAGGGCTGAAGTTTGAACACGAAGTGTCTGAATACACTAATCTACTTATTCGGTACTTCGATGAAGTTCGTTATTCACTTCGAGTAAGCGAAGTAGTGTAGTGGAGGCAAAACAAGTTTTCTGTAATTTTCTAAAAGTACGCTCCGACTTAACTGTGTAGAATAGACATAATTTAGTCATTAATACAAAATATAAGAATTTTACCTTCTGAAAAGATACATCGAAAGTACAACGCTAAATTATTTTTCTGCAACAAAAGTCATTGTTAGTTTATTGAGACTAAAAGTATCATAAATACGGTGTAAGTAGATGGTGGAATTTTCATTCGTGGACACGGGAAATAAAATGACTCTTATCAAATGGATTGATCAATATTGTTCTAATACGACGCGTACTTTCCATCGTCTGCTTAGTCCGTTCCTATCCTGAAAGATAAGGCAAGGCTACATCTAGCGTTTGCCTATTTATGACAAATTATATTAGAATCGTTGGTTTTAACTCCATCAGCGTGGTTAGTGAGGCCTTAGCCTTATTATTACAAATTGTCTAGTCGGTATAAGTGATTTGGCTGTCGTTTTGGTTGTAGTACTTATAATTAAAATTTTACCAACTGAACCAATTGAAATTCAACCAATCACGGCAGTCTGATCATTTGAACTTGGCTTGGATAAAATCTAAATATATTTCTCATTTACTCGTTCTATTACTTTTATAGTATTCGTTTCATAAATTAAATAATTAAATGGTATATTTATAATTATGCATGTAAACATAAAGAGATATTGCTATTTGTAACTGTAACATACGACAATACACGAATTATGATAAAACAAGCTAGTGCATGCTTAAAACTTCCTCATACCTGCAGTCAGGCAATATACCTACTTTAATTATCTGTTATTAGCATGATTTTTCTTTTGTGGCATGTTGATTACACAAGTCTTTGATTTTACTTGATAATTGTTATATCATAAGCATTCTCGAAGTAGCATTAACTATTGACACCTCAAATAAGAAAAGTAAATCGCAGAAACATGGGGTCTCTTGTAGGGAAGTGTAAAATCTTAGCAATAATTCGTAAGGAGTGATCGATTGGACAAGTGAAAACATTGGTGAGACGGCTCGCGAGAGCTCGGCGGGTGACGAGTTAGACCTTAACGTGCTAAGAATAAAGTGTTGTTTCGAGTGGTACCTTTTAAGTTTTATGATAAGTAATGCAGTAGGATATATACTTTTCGTTTTTAGTTTTTTAAACTCACACGAGCTTTAAGGGCCCGGGATACCCGAGCCCTTAGTCCCGAGTCGGGAGTGCGCGTTGAACTGACACGTTTGACGTCGAAACGTCACTTTGACAGATTGAGTTTTTAATCGTACGCTTGCAGACTATGTATGGCCAGCTTCAAAAATACAACCGATTGTAACCCTTTAGATGTATTCGCTAAGTATGAAATTAATTAAACAAAGTTAACTTTTTTAACAGGAATTTTTGAAGCTGGCGCTAACATTTCGATAATGAATTAATAAGTGCAATGAATAAAATGTAATTTAAGTTTAGTTAAAATAAAAATATGTAACCTATCATTGTTACTTATTTACACTACTTAAATGACAGAACTCACTAGTTGTACGCTGCGGGTTCATGATGCGTGTCTTTTGTATTCTGTGGCCGACCACAGACTAATGAACTTATAGGTAGACCAAAAAGTTGATTGAAAAAGTTTGATTTTTGCTGTTGTTGACGAAGTAGAATAACGTCTACGATATCTGAAGTGAACATAATTTTCATTTTTTTTATGTAACAGTTATTTTTTTCTTGGAAATAATTATAATACAACAGTTTTCTTTGATAAATCATTTGTTTGATAAATAGATGTCGGTGGAACTTCCGAAATTATAAATTACATTAAAACTTCAATTTTTTAATAAAAACACGGATTTAATCCTGCTAAAGGCAGATAATCCATTTAAGGTTAAAAAATAATGAACATTTTAACTTCCTTGTCCGATTAAAGGTTTAATTAATTTTCAATTAAACGGCATCCTGAATTAATATTATTTGAAACGTAGCTTCATTCATATTCTCAAAATATTTAATTAAAATTTAATAAATTGTAAAATTAACCATTTGTTAGTGAATAACTTATGTGGTTATTCGGTATTGTTTCAAGATGCGTTTGTAGGAATGCATTGAACGAATTTATATCGGAGTACAACATAATTTACCATATTTAACCCTTTGGATCGACCATTTATAGGAAAATTTACATTTAATCTAAATATATCACACTGTTGATGTTGTTTGACTCTCATTTTCTTTAGAACAGTAGAAGTGTTAGTTATAAAATTAATAACAAAATTAATCAAAATAAAATATAATTCGGTACTTATGTAACTGTTGAAAGATTCGAGAGAATTTGAAATATTAATTACTGAATTCAAAAGTAAATATGGCCTCTAATATCAAAGATATTTGTACACAGACATAGTATTTGTAGCTTTCCTATTAGTTGCCGTGAAACATGCTTACTTATTTATTCCCATTGTTACCCGTAAAGTTCCCGGAAAAAAATCCAGGTCGGGAATATTCCTGTAATATTTTCATTGACTGGAAATATATTTGGGAAATGCATCGTCCATTAATTTTGTGAGAGCAACATTAATATCGTGAAATTTGAATATAAAACTAGCGATTTACATTTTGTTCGTCAGATCACGACCTAGTTTATAGTCTTGAGTTGTTTTTCATAATAGAAAAGTAGAAGTTTCGTTTTAAAACAATAGTTCCTTTATTTTGCCACGTGAACCTTAATATAGTTAGATATTCGTAATTGGTGTATATTAAGGATATTCATTACGTTATACATTATCTCATGACCGTTTAAACATTTTTCATAACAAGTGTATGACGTATCCCTAATATGGACTAAAGAATTAGAAATAATGCTCAATATTAATGCTGCCTGCGCTCGTGTGAAACTTCGAGTTTCTTGTGGTAAAGATAATAAACAACTTATGTCATTATACTGTGCCTACCAAAACAAAAGTCCAAGGACAAATTGGTCACCCTAATTTTCGTTACTTAACACAATTTTTTTATAGAATTCGAGACCATCAAATATACTAAATTTATTAATAGCTTGACGTAAGTACAAAGTGCTTTAGTGATGCCTAAAAACAATACACGTCACTGATATAAAAATATTATCGTAGAGTCAGCAACCAAAGTATTCTAAACGTTTGTTCAACACTAAAATATTTCGACAGTGTTTCCAATTTATTGTATTTGTAAGTGCTGTGTGTCAGTAAACAATGATTTTAAGAGTTTATGGCCCATCAGTCGACACTACAAAAGTAATTTTCAACACCAACTGGGTGAAACTACAGTCATTTTGTTTAGGCGTTCATATTTACGTACCAATAACCGTCACGCGCAGTTTGGGCCACACGTAAAATGTAACGGCGGCCAATATGGCGCGAGCGAATCGCTTGGTCGAGGAAAATACATAAAATAACGCGTAACGGACCGTATCTTATTATGTTACATAAATATTGTCAACATAAGACGTTATGATGTTAAAGTAAAGATTACATAATGATATAGGTACTTGCGTATTTTTTTATTGGCAATCAGAACAAGATATATTTAAGCCTGATTGGTGTTAGTATTGAAGTTCAACCAATCCCAATCTTGAGTCTGAATTGAGTTTCAAATATAGTTTCACAATAATAAAATACTGAAGCTAGATAGATGGATGGAAATACCATTCGTTTTCGCTTTCGTTCCGATACGTCTAAAGTTGTAATGATCTATGCCACAAGAAAGTCGTTAATAAAAAAAGTTATTTTTGTAACCAATATTTAAGCAACCAAGACACCAATTTAATAATAGTCATAGTAAATAAATAGGAAGTTGATGCACCGCGATTTTTTGTTCTTAGTTAGGGTGGGTGCACCAGTCCCACACCAGGAACCAGTAGTACACCATTTCTAATTTCACATCAAAATATTAACAATCTGTCGAATTTCCCGCCACTTTTGTTACGTTTGGTAGCACTGCCGTACTTCTACCAATCATTAGTCTAAATGAAAGCGACAAACACGACTTGGTACGATCTGGTCAACCTTAGGCACATTGCGACTTTCCACATTGATTGTTAAATAAAAATAAACCTTACAGCTATTAAGAAAATTGGAATAAGCTACTTGATTCTATGATAGACAAGGAGTAGTTAATTCTTTTTTTTGCAATGATTGTTGTAATAATTGAGTCACAATATCAAAATTACTTTTAAAATATCGCTTATTTACTGGTACACCCACCCTACGTTAAAATACTTTTTCTGAAGAAAACTTTTTTAACTCACATTGATATATTTGTCTCAATATACCTAGGCACCGTTCGTTAAATTTCAGCTTAGTAATACATCTCTATTACAGTTGTGTTATAGGGTTTCCGCAATGCAAGTAGGATAAATTGTCTATTGAAAAGTCACTGTAGCACCTATAGCTTTAAATAAATTCGTTTAAAATACATTGAAACTTACCCTTCTCCCAATTACCTGGATACGTTTTAGTATCCTTA